ATTGTACAATAAAGTTAATTGTACTACAATTTGGTCATCGATTGCATTTATTTAACAATCCAGCGATACGAACCGAGAGATTTGGGAAATCCGGACGAGGTTTCAAGGATAATCGTAACAATACGAAAAAACCAAATAACAATTTTAATATTTGTGCGTTAGTATTTCTGCGTGGTTTTAAACAATTACTGAGATTTATTTTGGAACGAATTTCCGTCATCCCTTGTCTAGTTTGGTTTGCAGACAAACCGGTTTCGGCGTTGTGCCATCTTCAGTGTCATTTTTCGTTCTGTCTGGTTCGAGATTTGTCCCTAATTTATGTTCATTTATCTTAGGTAATGTGATTTTCGTCGATGATTAATTACTAGATATGTCATGGTGCCCATTTTTTGATGCAGGTAATAGGTTCATCTTCGCTGTTTCGGTATTAACATCCATTATGTTGTCGCTGTATGGTTTTTGCCTGCAGGTAGGTAAAAGTCAGTGATTTTTGCCCTGGTGGTGCTTTTTGGTGTGTTCGGAGTGAGACATTAAAAAGCAAAATGAAGTGTGCAGTGGCAAAGTGTAATAGTGAAAACAAAAGGAAAGCGTGCTATATAAGTTCTTTTCCGTTTCCTACGGACGCAAACCTGCCGAAAAAATGGAAGCAGTTCTGCCGGCGAGGACATGCATTAAACACCAAATCGAGCTTTGTGCTATGTGTGTGAGCTATGAGCTTCTACACGGAACTATGTTGGCCTTTCCTTGGTGAATTGTAGTAGGTATATTTTCATGGTGAATGTAGACAGTTGCTGGCTTAGTTTGCTGGCAATGACATACATACAAAATAGATACTTGAACTTCACTACCTACTCATTTTTGTTAGTACCTGATTCTTTTAGTGCTGGTATGAGGTAATGCACCAGTGGATAAGGTCGCCAGGCTCTAATTCAAGCGGCATCTTACCGCGCTGTTACGGACCTAATACAAAACAGTGCCCAAATTATTATACATTTAAAAGTTCAGCTTAAATTATGTTTTACTGACATAGAATATTTGCTTCCAAAAAAGCCACACTCATCATCCTCTCGGAAATGGTACATTCATCAAATAAAAGCTGTGGAGTCAACAGCAGTGGAGTTTATGGTGGTTGGCTACCGTCCACAAATATAAATATGCACTCTGCATGGCTTTTTAAAATGGTAAGTCGAAAAATTCACTTTGCTGCACACCTTCCTTTTGGTCTACATGAAATTGCAAACACTGTTAATACATCCTTTTTTCATGTGCTAAAAATCGTACTTATCTAAAGGGCTACATGTTCAAAATTATTTCTACGTGTTCCTAATTAATCAATCTTTGTATATTTATTGATTCCTGCAAAATTGGGCCATGTGATATTAAAATTAACACATTTTTCTGCATTGTTTACATATTTTTATATGCGTTTTGGCATTTCTCTCTCGCAATTGCACCAAGATGACGTCACGCAAAAATTACGCTCAAAAATCCTCTCATTGGCGCAATCTTGTATTCTATCATTCTTGATGTCATCCTTGATGCTTGAATGCAAGTTCTTGATCGTGTATCTTCACAGTTAGGAATCATACCTAGTGCGTTTTTGCAGCCACTGTATGAATATTGCCAAATTAGTTTATTGATGCGGATTCTCATTTGTTTTGGAATTTGGCATGATTGTGAGAAAAGTGAAAAATACTTGCTTAATTTTAATCTGTTAATAAATTAGCTGAAAATGCATTGGGCTAAAAACTAAAGTATTGATTGCGTGCGGAAATTAGGAGAATATGGAGACCAATGATGAGGTTGTGGAAAGACAAAAGCTAGTTTGTAACGACATCGATGGCGAGGAGGACCATAACAACCTGTCGACCATACCACAATCAGATCCAATATCCGTAGCTTCTCCACCTTCCCCGACAGTGCCAAAAATTAATGTAATATAATAAGCTCAAGTGAAAAATAAAGCTGATTGCCTAATAATTTTTTTGTAGATAACCATGTCCAGTGGTGACACAACTCGTAGTAGAAATTCCGCTAGTTGTTCCATAGAGCGCACATCAGAAAAAGGACAACTAATGTCGGCTAAAGTTACATACGTAAATGAGCGTCGTCCACGACCGCATTTGCATGGAAGTGCAAGCGTAGGAGGTTGTAGCAATGATGAGCGGCTCGACTTTAAATCACGACCACGAAAGCTACTGAAAGGTAATTAAATTAGTTTTTATTTACCTTTAAAGTATCCTTGATGTACATTCACAGCCACTGTTAAATGCCATATGCTGGTGTTTTGCATATCTTATGAAGGAGCTTAAGCATACTACTATGTACTGTTTAAGTGTGCAATTCTGTTCATTTCAATGCATTGTTAATTTTTGTTTCAATCGATTTAATATTCATTTAGTTTCTTATATGTATCCATTCCATTCTGCGTATTGTTTGCTTTAGTTTAAATTCAGTAGGGGTATTCTCTGAGGCCCCTATTGCGAGTGTCGACTGGCAGTAGAATAGAAATTTGTCGATCGAGTCGATCATCTTTTATTTTGCTATTGTGTAACTTGATCGATAAAAATTTGTATTATTGTGAATGGTTGACAGAATTATAAACAGCTGTTTGTTTGTTTACATTTGTTTCTTGAGTGTTTTATTTACATAATTTTTAAAATAATTGCTTTTATTATAAAATTAAAAAAATGGACACAGTTGAAATATGGTTTAGTGAAGAGGAAGATGATGCGGAAGCTAATAGATTAGTAGAGTTAGCTAAATCAAGGAGGGAATTGCGAGATTCGTCGGATCCCTTGGACTTGGAAGGTGTATGTACATGTGTGAGTTTTATGAATAGAAGTTGCGTTCCCGATGCTTCACTGTTTTTAGGCTTTACATGATTTGCAGGAAAAGCTGTTTTCCGCATTAATAAACTTTATGGAAGTTTAAGAAATACGGTACGGTTAAGTT